TCCCGTTTCACAGTGGAGGTTTACAATAAACGCTAAGTTTTTATCTGTCTGGCCTAGTAGCTCACACCTTTAATCTAGCTACTTAGGGGCTGAGGCGGGAAGGTTAAGGTTCAGGGCCAGCCTGGATAATTGAATAAGACCCTGTCTCTTAAGAGTAAAAAAAAGGATGGACACAATTTGTCTAGCATGCACAAAGCCCTGGGCTTAATTCTAGTACTGCCCCACTCACACACACACACACACACAAAAAATCATCCTAGAATATGTTAGGATATGTGGTATAATTTTTGAAATTTTGAAAAATTGAACATATTTTAGGAAGTTAAAAAATTTACACCCTGGGGCTGGAAAGAAAACTCAGGTTAAGAGTGCTTGCTCTTCTTCCGTAGGACCCAAGTTTGATTCCCAGCACCCATAATGGGAAGCTCACAACTACCTGTGATTCCTCTCCAAGGGGTTCTCTGGCACCTGTATGCATGTGCACATATCCCCACACAATTTTTTGAGACAGGGCTTCTTTTTCTAACAGCCCTGGTTGTCCTAGAACTCACTTTGTAGACCAGGCTGGCCTGGAACTCACAGATCTGCTTGTCTTTGCACCGAGTGCTGGAATCAAAGGTGTGCAGCACCACCATCTAGCGATACAATTTTGTTTGTTTGTTTTTCAAGACAAGGTTTTTCTGTGTAGCCTTGGCTGGCCTCAAAATCTCACCTGCCTCTGCCTCCCAAGTGCTGGGATTAAAGGCGTGCACCACCACTGTCCAGCTACACACATTTTTTTTAATTTTTAAAAAATATTTGCACCTTGGTTAACAAAGATGAGTTCTTAATAGCTTCCAAACTAATGTGTGCTGAAAATGTTTTGCATTAAATATCAAAATCAAGTTGTTCTGCCATTTTCGAAAGTTTCTTCTTTACTAGAATTGATGGAGAGGAGATAGAGGGACGGGCAGGGAAGGAACTACAGCAGACAGAAGCTGGCTAATGGTTGTACTGGCATGCCAAGTACTCTTCAACATCTAGAAAGAACTGGAAGTGTAGCCACATAGTTAAGTTACACCACAGCTTCTTACACAGCAATTGTATCAATATAAAGTATCTCTGAGGTTAGAGCCGCACTCTAATTGACACAAGTAGACAGATTATATGCAATACATTTCTCTCCCTGGTTGTATTGACCATTAATGGTGACCAAAAGTGAGTTGAATTTTGTGTTCTAGTACTCTTATGCAATCTGAACAGTTACGGCTTTTTACACTGAATTGGTCCTAACATTAGCAGACAAACTTAAAACAGGAAAAAGTGGTTAGAAAAGATTGAGATGTTCTGGTTCTGTTTTTTCCGAGTCAGGGTTTTATGTAATCCAGCCTAGCCTACTGCTCCTCCTGGGTCCACCAGAAGTGCCTGTGGCAGAGATAACTAACCTGTTGTTACCCCATGGCCTTTGAGCACCAGCTTCTTTCTTGTTAATATTTTGAAATGGACTTTTTCTTCAGAATGTAGGCCATTCTTACTTGCAAACATGGAGAGTCCTTTTCCTACTAGTGGTCTAAACTTACACTGGGGTCACCTTGTCCAGATGCTTTTAGTAGACTGCCTGGCTCATCTGGACTGCATGCTAGCTTTGTGTCTTCAGAAGGTGTGCAGCCCTGCACTAAAGCACTAGCTGGGCAATATGCAGTGACTAAGAAATCCCCTACTCTAGCAAACGCTTACAAGTTGGAAAAGGACGGAAATGTGACCTTGTAGTCACCCTAGGTGAGGCATCCAATAGTGACTAGGGATATAGTCAAATAGAGATTGTAGAACTATGAGAACTCTTAAAGGCAATTCTTGGACTAAGATGGAATCCATTAAAAAAGTGTTTGTCTCTTTAAATGTGTGCGGGTGTTTTGCCTGCATGTATATCTGTGTACCACATGTGTTCAGTGTCGACAAAGGCCAGAAGAGGGTGTTGGAGTTGCAAATGGTTGTGAGTTACCATGTGGGTGCTAGAAATTGATTGAGCCCAGGTCCTCTGGCAGTGCTCTTAGCTACTGAGCCATCTCTCCAGCCTCCTTGAAAGTACATTTTTAATGGAGCTAAGGAGGCAGAGGCAGGGATTTCCTTGAGTTTAAGGCCAGCCTGGGCAAGTGAGACTATGAAAACACAGAATGACTGAAATCAACACTGAAAATTCACATTTACTTTATTAACTTGTGAAGCTCGGTCTCTGATGTATCTTCCAGCCTTCTCTGATACTGTCTTTCTGAAGCTTTTCGACGGTACACATCATCTGTATCAGACAAAAATTCTGCTTAGATTTTTAAGAAACTAGGGAATTTCAAAAAGAGACTGGGGGTCTTTCTCTGTGGCAGAGTGCTTAGCCAGCCTAAGGAATGCTCGGAGTGCAATTTCTAGCAAGAGTTAGGAACAAAGCCCCCATGGAAGTAAGTCAACCAGTAGTCTGTCTTGACTGTCTGAATCTAGCAAATAAGTAATTTAACATAAAATGAGCTGAATGAGTGCTGTGGGGAGTCTGAGAACAAAAGAGTAAAAAGACAGTGCCTTCGGAGACATACTTATGCCCTGGCACCTTTCTGTCCTCCAAAATTTCCCTTGTCCCAGGTCTCTCTGGTGCTCCCTTTCCCAGGTCCCAAAACCTGAGTAAGGAGGGAAGTAATGTTCCTTGTTCTCAGCAGCTGGTTTTCCAGACTACTAATGTTCTACCCTCTTATAAAAATAAACCTCTTCCTTTTTTAAATCCTCTTCCTTCAGGGCTTCTTACTTGACTGCCATCTTCTCAGTGTTTTTATCACTCCATCACTGGTAACACTGGCTGCCAGCTCAGGTTTCTTGCTCTTCATCTGTGCCTTTTTACCACCCATATTGTTGGGGTGAAGTACCAGCCCCCTTGGCCTCCTTTACATCTCCAGTCAGTGTCTGCTCAGACTACAACTTCTGCTCTCCTATCCCACTCCTGGCTTTCCCGTCCTCGGAGCTCACCACCACCTTCCGCTGTCCCTTTAGCCTTTGTCTTCCCTCTCTTCCTGCCAAACCAGCTCAAGTTCCTTCACACTCTACTCCCTGTCTTCTGGACAGCCCTCCAAAACCCCACCAGAGATTGCTCCAACTGCCTCACTTTTCGGTTCATGCTGCTTGAGGCACCTCTCGATGATTCCATTAACATGGCTGAAAGCCATTTCCTCAGCCCTGAATGACTAAGAACACTCCCTTCTTTTTCAAAGAAAGGCCACTGTAAAGAACTCTGGCTGATTTTTAAGGCTGATCCCACTGGGCACTAGTACTTCTGAAGGTGCAGTCTCCCAGTCCCCTCCCCACCCCCTTCTTTTAGAAGATTCCTGCATGCCAAAACAAGTGCTGTACAAAGTGAGCTACAGGCCTAGTTCCAACTCCTTTCTCACCAGCGTTTGCATACCCTTCAGTCTCTCCATGGGCAGATGCTTACCTCTCTTCACAGTCACCTTGCCTTATCACCTGCCTTTCCGGTGTTCCTTCTAACCACTCCAAGACACCATTAAAACATGCTGAAGTCTGACCCTTCCATCAGATCCAGAAGTCTGGCCCAAACTGTCTTCCTGAGCTTGAGATCTTTAGGTAACCCCATTTCATCATGTCCTCAATGGCACCCTGCCTATGTTCTGCACCTTAACTAGTACAAGCCTTGCCTCAGGTGTTCCTTGAGAAGCCTCCCGGCCGCACCTCAGTTACCAGACTCCGCACTACCTCCAGGCTGTCTGAGCTCCACCCACTTCTTGGCATTCCTTTGCCCCTTAGACTTAGACCACCATCTCAAATCTGGCCAACATATGTTCCCTTTGTTTCTACTAATCTCTCCAAAAAGAGCAAAGAGCCCTTTCAATCATTAAGATATATCCTTATTGTCCGGTTCTTTTCTGGCCCTACCCAGGTACCCCTCTATCCATGTCACCTTTCAATCTGCTGCAGTCCTCCTAACAGCAAGCACAAAAGCCTCCAGGTTTCCCTAACCACTGCCATGAAGTCAGTGTTACAGATCTTCCCCTTGTCTCCTGACAGTCCTAAATGCCTGTCTTTTCCCAAGAGCTTTCCATCTGACCCAATGAAGTGCCAACCAGGATTCTTGAACTACTCCCACCCCTCATGGCTTGCTTAATGGTGGGGGACGGGGTGGAAATTGAGCTCGGGCCTATGTGAGTCAAGTGCTCTACACCTAGTCTTACTCCCATGAGCTCTTCTGAAATGGAGGATCTCCTGCCTTGCTCACTAGATCCTCTCATGGATGGTCATTAAATATGGAGTGGTGGCCCGTGCCTGTAATCCCAGCAGTTGGCTGAGGCAAGAGGATGGCTGAAAGTTTGAAGAGTCAAGGCCAGCACAGGCCCCTTATCAGAGTAGAAAGAGAAATCAATGGAGGCTTTGATGTAACAACTTAAAATTTTTTGAGTTGGCAGTTCTCACGTAATAAAGTTACATGAGAGGCAAAGCAAAGGGCCCAGAGGTTGGGAGAAGCCCTGAGGAACTGGGCGTGCCAGAGGCAGTCCACAGAAATGCCAGACATGTTCGCAGTTCAGGGCCAAAGACACAGCACTAATGACTGCCTGTAAAATGTGGTAATCAGCTAAGTCAGGCAAGCTAGCGTCCTCCAGAATTTGGGCTAAAGATCTCAAAGTGCAGGAGACTTAACCGGAATTTCCGAGTCCTCAGGATTGGCCCCTCTTCCGCAATCCTGTTCCTCAGTCCCCACGTCCCCACCGGCAGGGCCAAGGACAGGTTACAAAGGACGAGAGCCTGAGTGGAGGCACGTGCCCTCTTAAAGTGCAGGGGGAGAAGGAGGGCTGGATGCCAGTGTGAGCCAAATACAAAAGCCCGGGGGCCTCCAATCCGTGCTGCACAACTGCCAAGCGAGTAGGAAGGCTTGTCCTTCCGACTACAGTGAGAGCCGCTCTGCAACCAGTGGAGTCGGCGGCCTCTAATCTCACACCCACAGGAGAAACGGAGGCTGCTGCACCCCCACTTACAGAAGGTCTCCTGGCCCACGCGCACTTTAATCATGATCCACTCCATTGTTCCTCCCAGGACAAAAAAGAAGGGCAGGAACCTGTAGATGCCGAATCGCTGCTTCCCGGGCACCCGCTGCAGAGCTCGCCTCACCTGGGCCCTGAAGAACATGGCCGAGGCCTCGGAGTGGGGTACGGGCGGAACCAAGCGGACTATTAATCCTGGAGGGAGCAGAAGCAGCCCAGCTGGCCCCGCTGGGTCGCGGACTGAGCCAAGACCCCGCGGCTGCGCCACTGCCAGGCCGGGAGAGTTGGGGCGCAGAAGCGGACAGACCCAGAGCGTGGTCGGCTCCGCCAATCAGAGTGCGGCGGGCCGCTCACACCGTCCAATCAGAGCGCTCTTGGGGCACGCGTGCTCCGTGAGGTTGAGCCGGCCTGAAGAAGCCTGCGCAGGCGCCTAGACTCTGGAGGCGGAGCAACCTCAGGGGGCGGAGTCTCCGACGTGGCGTGGCCGGGCCCACCCTCAACCTGCTCCCCGCGGCTGGGGCTCGGCGATGAGTGCCGGGCCGCGCCCCCTCCTCTGCTGCGATCGCCATCTTCTTTTGTAACCCTCGGACCGAGGCGACGACCCTCCGTGAAGAAGGTGATCTAAAATGCAGTTAGGTGACGCCTCCGTCTTATTTCTAGGATGTGACTGGTTGGACTCGGCGTCTAAAAATAACAAAATTCGACATGCATTTTTGAAAACTGAACTTTGTCAGTATCACAACAAAAAGTATAATCGTCCATGACGAGCTTACTCTAGAAATAATATAAACGTGTGATCGATGGGAAAATGCCGTTATTCGGTACTCGTAGGTGCGTTTTTATGCATCCCAGCCCTGTAGTTGCAGAAGCGCACCATGGTAAAAAGCGTGACTTTGGGGTCAAGCCACACCCCTAGAGGTAGGCACCCCTGTAAACGGAGCCTTCCGTGAGAATTAACGACAGCCCGTGGGACCCAGGAAAGGGTCATAACCGGGTCGAGAGCAGCTTTAAAGCGTCCTGCACGCCAAACAGCCCTGGGGGGCCGGCCAAAAGACGCCACCCAGCAGACCCGTGGCACGTGTTCCCACTTCTCTTGGTTCTGAGGACCAGAACATGTAGAGCGTCCACCCACCTGGAAGAGATTCACGTGTGGCCAGGTCTCCACAGCCCACCCTGGTCACTGGGGCCTGCAAGGGCTCAGGCACCCATGAGCCCACCCTTTGGCGTCCACACCAGATCCTCAGCCTAGGTACAGAGAGCTCCACATCACACGCCACCGGGTGCCGAGTTGGGCAGCTCGTCACCCACGGGCCCTGCATCCTGGACCTGCGTACACCCGCAGGCTGAGAAAACAGACAGAAGTAGGTGGCGTGGTTTCGAGCGCAAAAGAACTTCCCCGAGACAGCGCTTGAACAGACTGCACTGGCCGGCACATCCGCTTGCCAGAACCAGGGGGCTGCGGTGACCCTGGCCCACAGCCACTCGGAGCTCGCCCATGGGCTCCTAGTTAAACCGTCCCCCGTGTCGGAAAGGCTGCCGTGCAGACGCCAGCTGCCCTGCAGGCTGCGTGGTCTCACCCAGCTCGGGACTGTCCCTGTGGGCAGCAAGGGCTCTTTGTGCGTTAGGTGAATCGAGCGGCCCTAGCTCCAGTCAGGCGTGCAGTCCGACGTGCAGTCGGTCAGAAACAGGGCAGGGGCGCAGGGCCCCGGGGCAGGAGGACGTGTCTGGGGAGGAGGGGGCGGAAGCGCTGGGTCAGGGGGAACCCAAGGCTGAGGGGAGGGACAGAAAGACCACGGGGCGAAGGAGGAGCTGTGCGCCCCCGCACTCCGGCTGCTCCTGCTCCTCGGGGCCGTCCAGGGCCTCTCGGAGTCACGGGCTCCTAAGCCCTGCGACTTCCCGCGCAAGGGAAGAAGGTGCCGCCATCACCACCGAGATGACCAAAGGGGGGCGCAGAGCCCCTGAGCCGAGCTGGTGGACGAAGAGGAGGAGGGGGTCGGGACCCCGCCCCGTCCCGGGACCTCCCGCCCCCCGCGGGCCGAGTGCTGCGCTCATTGGCCGGATGGGCTCCGCGCGCCTCGCCCATTGGTCGGCCGCCCTGAGAA